CCGACCTTCATCAAACATAGCAGTACTAATGACGAGATGTGTATTTATAAATAGGACATTCAAACTGTCCAACAATCTAGCAAATGGCGCTCTAAAAATGAGCCGAAACCGAATGAAACCGAAATTCGCTGAACGCACAAGGCTTATAAAAATTGTATGGAAAATTTGATTTAGCGTTAGCATGCCCCTTTTCTTTGGTGATATAAAAAATATATTTTAAAATATGTTGAAGTTGTTTTTTTGCCAGTCCGGTGCAATTTTGATCAGAAAATTAGCTTTATCATCCTTTGGGAACTAGCAGATCGGTGACATTGTTATAACACTATCAGACTACAGTTGATATAAATAATTAGTTCAGTCATTTAATGGGTTTTTACAATAAATTTTACAGAGATCTTGAAGGCAGCAATATCTTTACAAAATAAATATATTGGAAATTGGGCGGGTCTTCATCATATTTAATATAAATTATGACTACAAAATAAATTGTTATTTCTCAATTTTTAATATTTAATAAATCTAATATACTTTTTTGAAAACTTTTTACAGTCCTATCCACGGCGTTGAAAAATAAAACTATCCAATAGTATGCTCATAAATATCCAAATACCACATTTACATTCTTATCTGTTTTTATGTCATTATGCTAAGTCGAAATCAGCCTAAATGTATGCTATAGTTTTTGCTTATCATTAGTCATATATAACCTTTCGAACTCGTTGCCTACAATCAGGCGGTTTTTCTAATATTTAGCAGAGTCACATACCCCTTTTGAAATATTTGGTTGTTCTGTTTGAAGCTTTTTATATAGCTATTTTATTAAAATAAAATATGTAGTACAAGATGATTTAAAGGCCAAATTTTGACTTTGTTTGTTGTTCAAAACCTAAAATTATCGTAGCGCTTTTAAAATTTTTGTTTGCAATTCAGTTTTCTAGAGAATAATTTTAAATTAATTTTCCGTATATCTTATTTTAAACTTTTTGCTAAATTAACTAGGTATAAAAGTACTTCTGACTAACGAACGGTCAAAATTCGAAACCAATCATCACATGCATTTTTCAAATTCAACTTCTCAAATGTGTAATATAATACATTTCTAATTTTTTCTATTTTAAACTAATTTACCTGTTCTTGATCTTAAATTTGTAATTTTCCACTACTCATTTGATTAGATTTCAAATACTTTTAAACTACTTTGAAGTACACTCAGGAAGTTCAGCATTTGCTTGCGGTTGCTGCATTAAAAGGCACTTAATATAACTCTACATACTAATATATGTATGTATTTATGTACACTCGGGTATGTTTGTGCATGTGCGACTGAATAACCGCATTTTACCGTTCACTTAAGAGGATTGCCAAATATACATCAATCATGTCACACAAAAAGGTAAATTTATTAGTGAGCAATTTAAGTGAGTTCGAAGAGAATTGAATAAAAGTTTTCGCTTGTTTTTCGAACAACAACAATAAAATCAACAACAGCTGCATAGGTAGAAAATAGCCAAATATAATGATAAAGCGAATAATGGCAATGAAAACAGGATAATGGAAAGCAGAACAACGTAGTTACACGGCGAGTATCAAAAACAACAACAGCAATAAAAGCAAAAAATAATAAAAACAACGCAGTAATATTCACTAGCGTAAAACAGCTTAATCCAATAAACGCAGAAGACGAGGTGAAATTCTGCCGCTACAACAACAACAACAACAGGTAAAACAAAATAATATAGAACAGTTCAGCCGAAACAAACTAAAAAATTTTCAGCAAAGCCAAATAAAATATGAAAAAGCGTTAACTTCGTTTGCACCACAGCAATAATACCCTTCACAGGTGCATTTCTTATAGCATTAAAGGGTATAAAGAGATTTTTATCTTGATTTTGGTCGATCAGTTTGTATGATAGCTATATTCTGTAGTGTTTCGATCTGAATAATATATTCGGAGATTGTTGTGTTGCTTTTGCCAATAATGCATACCGAAATCAGTGAAGATAGCATGTCAAATAAAAACATTTGCCATACAAGAACTTTTTTTTTTGAACGGTCAGTTTAAATGGCAGCTATATGCTATAGTTGTCCGATATTGGCGTTTTCGACAAATGAACAGTTTCTTAAAAACTCAAGGCGTATATACAGACGGACGGACATCGTTACGCTGATGATTTATACATATTAGAGTGGAGCGAATTATTTTTTTTAGCTTAGCCTAAGGTCAATTTTGTAGATTATAAAACAAGAAAATGTTTGGAAGAAAAAACATTTTTTTTGTGGTTATTACTAAAGGTAAAAAAAATAGTCTTAAACTACAATATGCTTTCCTTAAGCGTTAAAATAAATTTTGAGTCAAAAACCGTCAAATTCGGTATTTTTTATATAAATAAGAAGAGTTTAAACAAAAAAAAAATTTTAACTCGAAATTTACTTTAAAAGTGAGTGGGCCGGGCCGCCTCTAGATGTTAAAAAAAATTTTTCTTTTTATAATCTAAAAATATTACCTTAGGATAAGCAAAAAAAAAATTTTTTTTCGCTCCACTCTACTACATATATAACTTTAACGTCTTCGACATTTCCCTCTGCGTGTTATAAACCTCGTAGCAAAATTAACATACCCTGTTCAGCGTATAACGAAAGCAAAAATCTACAATTTTGTATGTTAGTAGGAGAGCAGCGAGCTTTTTAAAGCTTACGCCGAATTTTAGATATTACACTCTAAATATATATATGTATATATGTATATCTATATATATATTATACAAAGACAACTCACTCGCTTGCTCCCTTCCACGTTAATTTAGAATTTTATGCGAAAAACGTGCGGCACGTGACCAATCGAAAAATTAGAGAAAGCTCAAGTAAAAAACGGAAATTTTAGCACTAAAGTTTACACTCCGCAGCGCAAGTGAAATGAAGCATTACTGGATTGTAATGTCAAGAGCAGCTGCAGGAAAGGTGGCAGCAATGTTATCGCAAACATTTTTCGAATGAAAATAGTTTTTGTTATTGCGTCGAGGGCTTTTGTTCTTGTTGCGCTTTTTATTTCTGATTTTAGTTGTTAATTTTATTGCTGTTGTTGCTGTGGAAAATGCTAAAATTGGTGTGCAAGAAAGGTATGTTGCTGTGCATTCCAGCATTGCACGTCCATTTCAGTTGGACTCGAGCAGACAGAGTTGCCATGCCAATCCCAATAAGCGGCGATCAATTTTGAAAATTTGGGATGCCATTGATGCGGTAGTCGATCTCTAAGTGGATCCCCGAAAAAACAGTCTGGCTTTGCGAACGACTTTTTCGTTTAAAATTGTACCAAATCCGAAAACAAGAAAAAAATCTTAAAACCTTAGTTGAAAATAGTTAATAAGTGAAGGACTATGCAAATTGTTGTTTAAAGACAAAATAGCGGCATTCACAAAATTTCGTTTTTTTGACAAGATTTACACATCAGAGGGGTTAAAAAATCGAGAATATAATCAAAAAGTTTTTACCCTTAACCGTGATCTGATATACTTATACATCTAGGAAGGTATAATGAAATTTTGAAATCGATCGGTAAAGCCGTTTCGGAGAAATTTTTTTCTCCGACTCTGAAAACAGCGTATGGAGGAAACCGGAAAATATTTCAATTTAACAAAAAAAAAAAACGAAAATTTATTAGTTCCCAAGTGGATATAGCCCTAAAGTAAAGCAGTAGATGCTTTCAAGAGAGCCTTTGAATTCCTGAATGCAAAATTTTATTCCAAAACAATTTTTGTACCACAACGGGGTTTTTAAAGAGTGGATTTTAGTCAGCTTTGAAACTCTTTGGATGTTCTAGGATTTTAGTTTACTTTTGGTAAATTAAGGAGATTTTATGATTAGCTAATTCTTTAGATTCACTCCTTTATTTTTTAAAAAAGGTCCTCAGCTTGTGTTATTAGGTAGTGCTATCAGTTCCATCTAAAGTTAGGTTAAGAAAACGAAGCTGGTCATCAGAGCTAGATCTTATGTTAGATGACAGTGCTCATGACGCTTGAGAAACGGTGCTTAGTTATATGCGGTTACTCTTCAGACCTGACCAGTTAGGGATTTGATAGTACCATAATTTTTTATCTGGAAGAGATGCTCTGCTAACTCTTTTGGCTTGAGAAGAAAGCTTATCTGAGTACCTTAATGTATTGTAGGTGTCGCTTAATAAATTAGAGAGGCCTTTTGCTTTCAGATAGCTATCTGTAACGATGATTTTGATAAAACAAATTATGACAATAACAAAACAAGTTGGCAACCTTGTGAATAGCAGCACACTCTAAAATGCGCGGCGTGTGAGAATGTGCGAGAGGATTAGTGCTCTAAAAAGGAATTTACCTGCCAGCTAAACTTAAAAATATATGCAAATCGCAGCATAAAGGTTAACTATGCGCTTTCGTATTAAAGTTGGGCATCATAAAAAACAGCAACAACAAATTACAGTAAATATAAAGGGTCGTAAGTATAAAAGGATAAAGTGGAAAATGTGACAAATCAATTTGGCGCTGAAGGTATTTCGGGTCATTTGTCATGGCAACAAATGCCACGAGCGGAAAGGGACTTGAGAGAACTGGGCAAAAAGTGAAACAGAAAGTGAATGGAGAGCGCGTTGTTGGGAAATTAGTAGCTAATGGTTTAGTGGCGATTTAAGGACACACTTTCACAAATACTTAATTGCGCTTTGAGTGATAGCGTAGAGATTGGAGATTAGAGATAGATATAGAGATTGAAAGAATTAGTGATTTATTTATGAGGAATGCGGGACTTTTGGTTTTGAAATTAGTTGACATTTTATATTGATGACGTTTTAATTATTGACCACTATGTATTTTCCAATAGAAGAAATTTATTTTAATTATGCAAATCCTAATGGCTATTTTATTAGAATTATTGTACTTATTTACTTATTAATTTTAATTTTTTTTAATATAGGTTTTAATTTATTTATTTAAAAAAAAAAATTATAATCTAAAAGTTTTAGCTTGTTTACTCACCAATAAAAAACCACACATGCGCCCGTCCATATAGTTGTTGCTTGTACATTTCGCAAAGTACACGCCGCGCGGCCACGACATAGAATAGGCCGACTATGATGCGAGCATCTTGTCGGCGTAGGTTGCGTACCGCATCTGTTGGATCGGATAGAAATGATTGTCTTGTGACGATTTCGACGCCCGCTTCCATGCAACGATTTTCGAGATCTTCAACGGTCTAAAAATAAAAAGATATGAAAATTAATTAGTTTTAAACACGAAGTTACAAAATAATGAGGTTTTTACATATATTATATGTTTTTACTGGTACAGAACACTCATATCATATAAAAAAAAATGTTGCATAGTTTTGAGCGCCAACGTAGTTAATATGAGCTGTTTCAAATTCAAGAGAGAATTATTTAAACTGCTACAAAATTGTATTTATTTAATATTAAAAAAAAGTTTATCTGTTGCATACTTCTAAGCGCCAATTAGCTTTATTTCAGTTTATAAAATTTGAGAGAAAGAAATTTAAACTTTCGGAGTCCGTTTCAATTTAAATATTGGGTGTATGCATTAATTCGTGCGGTTTTCTAAGAGAGGGCTCTACTAGTATTATTTCGCGTCGTATTCATCTGTGGCTATATTCATTTCAAAGGTACTGCCATTTCGCGTCGTTTTCAGTAGATATAAATTGTTTGAGCGTGAACAACAATTTGTTTCATTCATTTGAAAATGTCGAAATTTGTACCAGATAAAGTGTTTTTGCGGGGAGTTCTTCTTCATTATTTTAACATGAAGAAAAGTGCTGCCGAAAGCCATCGTATTTTACTGGACGTTTATGGTGACCATGCTTTAGCCGAACGAACGTGCCAGAAGTGGTTTGCACGGTTTAAAAGTAGCAATTTCGACTTAGACGACGGAGAACGACCCGGACAGCCAAACAAACTTCAAGACGAAGAATTGGAGACATTGCTCGACGCAGATGCATGCCAGACGCAAGAAGAACTTGCAAAGGTATTAGGAGTTGATCAAGCAACCGTTTCCAGACGATTAAAATCATTAGGATTCATCCAGAAGCTTGGAAATTGGGTGCCTTATGAATTAAAGCCAAGAGACGTCGAACGTCGATTCTGCATGTCGGAAATGTTGCTTCAACGCCACCAAAAGAAGTCGTTTTTGCATCGGATTGTAACTGGCGATGAAAAATGGATTCATTATGATAACCCAAAGCGCAAGAAATCGTATGTGAAGCCCGGCCAACCACCAACATCCACGGCAAAGCCGAATCTCCATGCTGCTAAGGTTATGCTATGTATTTGGTGGGACCACAAGGGTGTGCTCTATTATGAGCTATTGAAATCGGGTCAGACGATATTAATAATCAATAATGGGGCCCTCTACCGAAAACAATTGATTCGTTTGAAAAAGGCCATCGCGGAAAAACGACCAGAATATGCGACCAGACACGAATCAATAATTTTTCATCATGACAACGCTCGGCCACATGTTGCAAGGCCAGTTAAAAACTATTTGGAAAACTGTGGGTGGGAAGTTCTACCTCACCCGCCTTATAGCCCAGATATAGCACCTTCCGATTACCACTTGTTCAGATCAATGCAGAATGCCCTCACCGGAGTACGCTTCTCTTCAGAACAGGGTATCAGAAATTGGATTGATTCTTTCTTGACCTCCAAGCCGGAGAATTTCTTTTGGGATGGGATCCACAAACTGAAAGAAAGATGGGCAAACATCATAGCTTTCGATGGGCAATACTTTGAACATTAAATGTATAACAATTTTTTCACAATAAAGTCTTAATTTTCGTAAAAAAACCGCACGAATTAATGCATACGCCATATAATTTAAAAAATATTGGATGTTCCATACTTTTGAGCGCCGTTAATTTGTTGAGACATATGATATTCGAACTAATGAGCTTTTACATACTTTTAAGCGTTATTTAATTTTTTGTTTGCTATTTTTCAACATAATCATAGAGCGGAACACTTCAAATTATAACTTTTCCTTCAATCACTTTGTATGGCAGCAATAAGCTATAGTGTTTCGATGTTAAGAATATGCTCGGCTATTGTAGTGTGACCAATGAAAATAAGCTATCCCAAATTTCGTGAAGATATCTTTTAAAATGAAAAAGTTTTCCTTACAAGAACGTGATTTTGATAGATCAGTTCGTATTGCATCTATGTGCTATAGATGGTTCCGACCAATAGCAAGTTTCTTTAAAAGAAAATGACCTATTTAAAATTGCAGATGAAGGACTCGTAAACTACGGGCCTATTATGCGTATATATTGACGAACGCACGGACTTGGTTAAGTCGAATCAACTCGACACGTTGATAATTTATATGTTTATATGTTTCTATATTTTATTAGATCCCAACATTTTCTGTTAAGTGTTACAAACTTCGTGGCATACTTGATATACCCTATACAGGGTATTAAATTAATTGTTGGCACAATTTAACAGCCTTTCTATACTCATATTATTCTCTACTATTAAAACAACAAATTTAATCAATTATATTAGTGATTTGGAATCACTAGAAATGGCTGTCAAAATTTTCCTTGAAATTAATGCCTATGTTACAACTAGTCTTAATCTATCAATTAATATTTGCCAGCAGCTATTGAATCAAGGATTATTGAATTACGCCTAAATGTGTGCTCTCAGCATTACAGACAAAGGCAGTTATGTGCATGAGTAAATGTTTTCATATTTGCCAAGTCAACAAGTAAAAAGATTTATGTGTACATATAGATATATATATATAAAGACTAGGAGCTAAATTAACTACATTTGACTTGCTTCAATTGTTCGTTGGCAGTTTTGATGTCTGCGGGTATGCTTTTAACTTGCATAAACCAGATTTGTTGTTGCGTTTGAAAAAGTTGCAATTTCCTCAATCTGCTTACTAGCAAAAAAGGTTACAATTATTTAACAAAATAAAACAATACAACAATAGTCATAAGTAAAATAGATAACGTCGAGTCGTAAAGTATGCAAAGGGGGGGCTGATTAATGAAATGAAGTGTTTGCGCAGAAATCTTTTCATAACTAAAAATATAACTTTGTTTACACTGTGCTTCAAAGATTTATGTATGTGTATATACAGCTACGGTTATATAAATAGTAATACTTGATAAATAAATTAGGTTTGAAATGCGGGTTGATTGTGAGTAGTTTAGTGCGAAAACGGGTGTTGTGGAAAGTTGTGCCTACACCAATATCTGTTTGATAGTAGAAATAATCTTGCTGACTATAGAGATTTTAGAAAGTTCTCTAGAATTGACAGAAATCCTTAAAAGAAAATTCAGTGACCGGCTGCTTAATTTATATTTAACTACTGTAAAAGTTTAAGCTATTAAAAATAAGATATTAAATTCTTCTGGCACCACAACACTGACTCATAACTGATTCAGGAACTGAGCGCTAATACCAAGAAGTTTTTCTTAGAAGTTTTCTGAGAAGAAGAGGGTGAGTGATAAAAATATATAAAGCAAGAGAATGAAAAATATCTACTCAAGCTGCAATGACACTGACTTGTAATTACCGGAGTTGTTTATTAGCGCTTTGGAAACTGTTTGGAAGGAGACAGAAAGATCTATGATGAAAGATGGGAATACACTCAAGGCGTCACAACCTTACCTTATGTATATACATATGTCACGAAAACTAAGCAATAATATCAGGACATTTTTCAGAATTTACTGCAGCCTTGCCAATATTTTGTAAGGAAAGAGAGTGAGAGAGGAAAATATAAAGAGAACGAGAGAGAGGAGGAGATATACCCAAAGGCTGACAACACTGACTTATATCTGACTCAGGAACTAAGTGATAATATAGGAAATTTTTCAGAAAAGCTTATTAGGGTTTTGTATAGTTTAGAAGAGAGAGAAGAGAGACAGAAAAATTTATACTCAAGACTTATTAGGGCTTTCGAAATAGAAAGAGAAAGATATATGAAATAATGTATATGAAGAAAGAGGAGGCCGTCCCAACACTGATTCTGAACTGAATCAACAACAAAGTGATAATAACAAAACATGTTTTGGAGGAGTTTACAAAAGAATAATACTTTTAATAATAGATAGGAAGAAAAGAGAGCGCGAGACAAATTTATATAGAACAATATATAAGAAGAGAGAGGGGAAAATATGCTCAAGGTGTCACAACACTGACACTAATCACATCTGACTGCGGAACTTAGCGATATTACCAGCAAATTTTTCGAAAAAGATAGAGCTTGGAACTTTGGAATTAGTTTGGTAGAAGAGAGTGTAAGAAAGAAAGATGTATAGAGAAGGACAGTGGAAAATATATACTCAAGACCGTTGGATCATACATTTAGCGTTCTCTGAGATTATATCTGAGTTCTAATTTCTGCAGACGTCATATTGTAACCGTAACGCCAAAGAGCGAGGTTTTCATTTATTTCTTTGTCTTGGCGCTAATGACGTAATTTAATTTTAAGGATATCTGCTTGAAGGTTTTGAACATTCTAAGGCTTTAATGGCCGATTGTACGATTCCAATAACCAAAAACAGGAATGCAAAATAGTATGAGAACTGATAAATCTCATTTTCTCTTTCTCTTTTTAATTTCACTGCAGTTTAAGAGCTTTAAAACAGTATTGTGCTTTGACAGAGGACTCAGAGAAGCAGTTTGTGCTCAAAAACTAATATAAGGTATTTAAGGAAAAGGGGCGGCACCACCACACCTATTGTAAATTATATTGTTACGAATTTTGTTTATTTTTAATGTTCTTTCTTGAAGTGCTACATTCTTCGCTCTACCCAACAGTTCCATTCTGCTACCTACCAAACCTATCTTACCAAAAATAAATCCAAAAATAAGTTTTCAGGATTATATTTCACACACACACACCTCCATTCAGACTTAAAATAATATGAGATTTGCGACACTCCTTAACGGCTGTAAAATGTAGTCGAGCAGAAGTAGCGCAGCCTCTCAAGGATAACGCCTTCAATATGACAGTTGCGCCGGCCGAAGTTGAGTGAAGGCATCAAAGTGAGAAGTTTATGAAATATGCGAAATGAAAGCCTCACACTTGCACACGCGGTCTCTGGCAGTCAAATATTGTGGTTAAGCGCGAGCAAATCTACGTCCGTTTTGGTGTGTATGTCAGTGCGTGTGTAGCAGACTCTCCTTTTATGGAAGCAAGGCAAGCGTAAAACTACCCATAAACCCGGCGAAATCTTTATGATTTTCAATGCTTGAATGCTTCCAAAGCATCAAACGTCAAAGATGTTGGGCGTAAGAGTTTCTCAGCGCTGTAAGATAATACGAAAAGTACTTGCTATTTGACGCAGCCAGCAACTTGTGTTGCCCAAGCTGGTTACCAAACCGTAAATGGGGAAAAGTTGAGTGAAAGCTGAAGACTGAATGCCGAATACTTCAAGTGGTTTTGGAAATAGTAATGGGAAATGGGACTAAACTGTTGACGTCTAGAAAGTTTATAGAAATGTGGGAAAAGATAGCTATAATATGAGTATGACCAAACACACATACATACATTTTACGTTTTTTTTTTATTATGCGGCGCACTATAATATATATGGAAATTTCATGCGAAATCGAAAATATCAGCATAATTTTGTGTGTTAATGCATTTGAATGTTAGAATGTAGCTGAACTTGCGTTTATTGTAAAATTTACACATTTGCTAACATTTTATGACGGCTTTATTGACATACATACATATATACATGTATAAGTAGTATGAGTTGTTATGTGGTTAAAGGGATTTTTGGGTAAGGCAAAGAATATTAAATTAAGACTATTTAGACTTTCATGAGTGTCGCATTGTTGCTGTTTTAATGTACATGTTATTTTAGAAGTGTATATAAAAAATTATATTATTTACGAGATTTACGAGTTGCAAAGAAGGATATAAAGTGGTTCCATTTATATTAAAAAAAATGTAAATAAAGTTTATAAAAAAATGTAAATAAAGTTTATAAAAAATTTAAAATTAAGAATTCTTAAGAAAATAATTTATAAAAATGTATAAAAAATTTTATTTATTTTAATATTAAAAAATTGACTTAAATAATAATAATAAAAAAAAATGTTATAAAACTTTTATGAGAAAAATCAAAAGTAAAAAAATTGTGTGTGTTTAAGAAAATAGTTTATTAAATTTTTTTTTTTTTATAAAAAAGCATAACCATTTCCAATAGGATTTTTTTTTTATTAACAAGCATACTTTTTATATATTATATTAAAAACTAAAAAAAAAAGATTATTATTGGAAAATGTTAATAAATGAAAACAAAAAAAAAAAAAGTTTTTTTACTATATAAATTTAAAAGTTTTTGTATGTAAAAACTGCAAAATTAAAATTAAACAAGAAAAAACGTTAACTTCGGTTGCGCCGAAGCTATAATATCCTTCACAAAAACAAAGGCCCCTTACAAGAACTTAATTCCGAACGTTCAATTTGTATGACAGCTATATGATATAGTGATCTGATCTGACCAATTTCTGTGGAGAATAATTTGTTGCCTTAAGCAATAACTCGTGCCTAATTTCGTGAAGATATCTCGTCAAATAAAAAAATGTTCCATGCAAGCACTTTACTCCGATCGTTCAGTTAATATGGCAGCTATATGCTATAGTCATCCGATCCATACAATTTCTTCGGAGATTAGATTAATGCTTTAAATAATAATACATGCCAAATTTCATGAAGATACCTCGTCGAATTAAAGAGTTTTCCATACAAGCACTTCATTCCGATTGTTCAGTTTGTATGGCAGATATATGCTATAGTCATCCGATCTGAATAATTTCTTCGGAGATTACATTGTTGCCCTAACTAATAAGCCGTGCCAAATTTCGTGAAGATACCTCGTCAAATGAAAGAGTTTTCCATACAAGCACTTGATTCCGATTGTTCAGTTTGTATGGCAGCTATATGCTATAGTGATCCGATATCGGCGGTTCCGACAAATGAGCAGCTTCTTTGAGAAAAAAGTACAGGTGCAAAATTTCAGATCGATATCTCAAAAACTGAGGGACTAGTTCGCGTATATACAGACGGACGGACAGACGGACGGACATGGCTAAATCAACTCAGCTCGTCACGGTGATCATTTATATATATACTATATATGGTCTCCGACGTTTCCTTCTGGGTGTTACAAACTTCGTGGCAAAATTAATACAGGGTCAGGGTATCAAAATTAATATGAAAAAATAGTTGAAAATGAAAAAAACCCATATTTATATGTATGTGTATGTAGAGGGAAATATTGAAAAAACATTAAACAATATGAAAATTTTTTAATTTTTACTTATATAAAATTAAGTTTTATTTGTAATAAAAAAAATAATTTAAAATAAAAACTTTTTATAAGAAATTAAAAGCCAAAAATGGTTATAAAAAATAATTTATCAATATAAAATTTTTTAATATATAAGTTGTATTGCATATAAATTAAAACTTTTTTATATTATTTCTTATATTTTTTACTTGCGTACTTAAATTTTTTTTAACATAGTATTTATATTTTTTAAGAGTTTTTTTAATATAGAGTGGACAATATTTAATTTTGTCGAAGTACTGAAATATGTTTAATTAAAAATATAAAATTGAGTAGTAAACATTATATTAATATGTATAAACGTTATATAATTGTTCTTTAATTTTTAAAATATTTTATTTCAAACTTGTAGAAATTTTTCTAGTAAACCCTTCGAATTTGTTTACCAAATTAAAATTAGTAACAAAAATAAAACGGTGGCAATCACATAAAAGTTCTTCGAATTCTAAGCCTTCTAAGTAATTGCTTCAAGCCTAAATGAAATATCTGCAGTAATAAAGTTAAAAGAGTCAAGAAAAAAGTAAACATTTCTGGGGTTTTATTGTATATATTCGCTGCTTATGTATTTTTTTTGACTGGTGTGTTGGAGACTTTTTTTTATATATATACTAATGTTCTCGAAAATCCTGATTGAGTAAAAACATCGATTTTGATAAATTTTTATTGAATGAAAATAAGATATGGTGGTAACCATGGAAGCTACTTCAACTATTAGACTTATTGATGATATGTATAATATAATAATTGAACGACATAAGAGTTTTAAGTAAACTACTAATTTAAGCAAATGAGGAAGTTTACATTTTTTTAGCATATTTTTAGTCCAACTTTCACTGTTTTCTTTAACTTAGTTGTGTCAGAAAAGTAAGGAGTCTAAGTAAGGAGTCTGTATTATTGTAGCACTTTTAAGCGAGTCACACATTGGTTTTTGAGTAAATAAATGAGTGCCCAAATTGGCAGCATACTTTTAGGGACCAAATATGAACCTACATTTTTACGTGTAAAGTTATTGTCTAGGAAGTAGGAAACGATTAGGGGACTTTTATAGTCGTAGAATGCTTTAGAATATTTTATCATGCTACAAGTATTCGGTACACAGTTATAATCTGTGAGAAATTCTAGTATTAACATTCTAACAATATTTTGACCCAAAATTTAAAATTAGGTTTTCAGAAAATCAATTCTCAGCAAATCAAAGTATATTTCGCAAAGGCTATGTTGTAGCGTGGTTTCTTGTGTGAATCCTGTCCATTTCGCAGTCTTTTATAGCTTATATTTAAAAAAAAATTTATCATATAGCATACCTTTAGGCGTTTGCGTTATTAAAGCCGTTTTATATATTATTTTCTTTACATTTAAGATAGTTGAAATTTGTTTTCCTCTACTACTTTAAACTTTAAAAATTACATATTTTTGTTATTTCTCTCACGCTTCCGTCTTCGTACTTCAAATAAATGGCTGTATCGTTATAAATTATACCCTGTTCTTTGTGTGTCTACTCGTTTTTTGCTTTGGCTCGCCATTTTGTCTGTCTCCTCATGTACCTACTTGCACGAAATCTTCTTCATTTATTACATTTCCGCATGCGTTGTCTCCTGTGTACTTTGTGCGTGACTAAATGTCCATATAAGCCGCTGAGGTGCGCATATTCTCCGTATAATTTCATCTGCTACAACTTGGTTGCTTGCTGTGCCTTATCAAATTGCTACCTTAAAGAACGAGTGACAGTTTGTATATGCTGTAAATGCATATGCAATGTTTATATAATTTTTATACCTTGGCAACGACTTGTCATACGTCCTCACATACACACCAACACACACACATACATATAACTTTTGACGTCATAATCCACTTGGGACATGTCGAAATGTGGCAGTTCAGTGCTCTGCTTAGATATGCACATAAAGGTAAACATATATTTACCTGTGCATATTTATATAGTACAGGTCTCTCAAAGCTAATACGTCATATCTTGTTGGCGATGCTGTCGCTCACGCGGCCGCATAGTAAATCTTCGTGTTGCCCCCAAGGTGTCTATGCGAATGACAAATTTTTCAACATGCCTTGTTATTCTATTTTACAGTTTTTTATTATTGTGTTAAAATTTTTACGTTCACCCTGCAGCGTTACTCTTCAAGGAGTAGGCGACAGTAGCAATAACAAGTTGGTTACCTATACGCCAACGCACACAGGCAGATATGATTTATATAACTGAGAATAAAGATGTGTGTGTGCGTATGTTTGGTAGAAAAACGTATATCATCTGTCTGCCACTGAGGTATAGTGCTGTTGTTGTAATTCGTTGTCTCCTGGTACTCGTTGAGGTTGGTTTATAAATATTTCCATGACGCTAACCACCTTTTGGAAAATCTTCAGCACTTTGAGCAACTTGCAATTTTTAAAGTTCCTTGAATGTAATATTTAGCTTCTTTTTTCATTATTGTTATTGTAGAATAAGGTGTTGTTTAAGAGGTTATATCTAGCCACTTGTAAGTCATGAAAACGCGTTTGTTCGTAGATATTTTTTGAAAACGAATTTTATTTAGTAAATTGATAAAAATTATGTACGCTTACGTAATTTAATGTACATTTGTAATCGGTGATTCATTTTGAAAAATTTTGGATTCCCATGATTTCGTATTCGATCTTGGGAAATAACTCCGAAAAAGGTGTTGTTTTGCTTAATATTAACTCAAATCCAAAACTAACCTTTTTTTTTTTGTAATGAAAGACCTCCTAGTCAAAATTTTGAATCTTTGGTATTTTCCCCGAAATAGTAGCTTTTGTAAAGAAATTTACACTTCGAAGTGTTTTAAAAAATCAAAATTGTTCCAAATTCTTGTTGCTTTGGCCCTTACGAGAAATAAATATAAGAACGTCGTGTGAAAATATCAAGCCGATCAGTCCAACCGTTTCGAAGAAAATTTCCTTCCGACTTTGAAAATAGCTGATTTCAATAAAAACGAGTTTAAATGTTTGGGAGCCGATTACTATGAAGAAAAAGGCTTTTTTTTTACTGAGAATGAAAGTCAGAAGGTCATTTACTGCGACTGGAGATTTTGCGTTGTTTCGTGACCCTTGGAGAGTTGTAAGATCCCATAGGTGTGATTCCGAACTAATAAAAATGTAACAATTTGTGTCACATATATCTTAATTAGTCCCCCAGCGTGATGAAAGCTTGAACAGGCCTCTGGATTA